ACTGGGGAGTGTGACGAAAGTTTGTTATTTTCTCCCTGATTTGTAGGAAACTGTTTCTCAACTTGTCTATTTAGTTTCAAGCAGAGTTCAAGAAGGTTTACCTCATATAATAAATATCGGTAGATTAATCGCATTTATAATATTATCACGCCAGCTGACTGTGACCATTTTCGGCCTCAAATCATTCAGGGGAATCCAGACATGTACCAGCCTGAGGATGCGTAAAAACATTCTATGTCCCCTAATGCAATATAGACTCACCAAGAATGGACGCGATCACAAACCGGCGCCAGCGAGATTCGAAAGCCAACCGTTTAGTCAAAACCCAAGCAGTTAACCAATTCGCAAGCGAGTTTGCAAATTGGCTGCCTCAATACTTCTGAGACTTGCTGTAATATTATAATATACATTAAAAACAGGGTCGTTACGACATATATTCGGCAAACTTTGGCAAACCCATGTCAAAGTCAATACGTTAGATCTACTATATGAACATTTAATAATTTGCTATTTATAGTGCTCCGTTACATGTATGGACCAATCCAGTCGTTTAGTTTCATATTAGTAAACACAAGTAGTAGGGTTATTGGATTGGCGAATTAAATGTTTCCCAAACGTCTTGATGTAATTCACGTTATTCACAATTATTGTCGCACTTACATAATAATGTTTTGACCTTTACCATGGAGTGAAATGAATAGACTGGTAAATTGCAATATGATAAAAATGTACTCGGGAAGGCTAATCTCTGATAAATAATGACACTGCCCTCAATCGTCTGTATATACGAGTACAGTACTGTCGTTTTTAACTCTAATCCAGTCTAATCGCATCGAGGAAGTACTGAAGCATTTCAAACAAGGCTTCTATGCTACTGTGACTATTCAATACTTTTATATGGGCTGTAGTCATTGTGTGTACATGGGCGTTGACATTGTGTTTACTTACTAGTAGGCAAGTTGTTGACGTGATCTTCCTGCATAGAAATCAATGCATAATTGTATGGACTGTACTAGTATGTCATTTTATGACTTAATGAATCAAAAGTAGACCATAAACCACTTACATTTGTTCTCAAATAATGTAACTAAACATAGCTTTTTAAATTCAATTCAGGATTTAGCGGTCTCAAGTTATTTAATAACCTGCGACTTTCTTACAAATTGTTTAGCACTTAATGTTCATTTTGTTGCGATGTATTTTTATTTATTCCTGAGCAGTTTTATATTTTTTCGCATATTTAAGTGAATTTCTGGTATTATAACTAAATAAATAATTTTAAGGTAGCTGAAATAAAAGTGCAGGTCAGATTTGTTAGTTTTCGCACGGCCAAAAACGCCATATTTTATTAGTAAAAAAAATCTACCACCCAGACAAAATTGTTGTTTGACGCACAGTCTCTAAACCTCATAAAACTATTTAGTACAGCTGGTCTGTATTCAATGTGTCAATATTTATTTTAAACCCTACCCACCCAAAACATAAACAACAAGTATATTTGTCAATCACGATTCACCGAGTGAAATTTGGGCATGATAGGCAACGTTTACCAATGTCGAATAACAACGTTATAACAATTGACAACAATGAACCATGGGAGATGGCATCCAAAGGACGATGGTATCGAACCAATTTATATAATCAAACCTTCCCAGGAATCATCTAGAGATTGTACGGATTGTTCCAACAATGTAATTTGTATTGTTTTTGTTTTTTGGAAGGGGACGAGGGGGCTTGTTTTAGAGTTTCGAGAATAACGTTATAATGCGCAATCAAAAACAAACTGGTTATATGTAACAATCGCGCAACAAATTAGAGATAGGTTAAATTCAACAATACGATGATGCATACCAGTACGTTTTCTTGAGCAGTTTTGGACTTGGCGTAAACCCCTGCTGTCATACTACTATATACTAGTAAATGATGAAACCGTACATGCGCCTTGGATACAATATGGATCGGAACAATTTAGGAAATTATTAAGATGACTTATAATATTAAAACTGGTCAACTATGTGTTCCGATAAAAACAGTTATGAAACGAATGGCAGAATTGTTTAAAATACGATGATATGGAATAAGGGACAACAATGAAATGTCAAACTCGTAAATAACTTCAAACTGTAGTAGATGTATGATAACAAACTATTCAGTCAAGGCAACATAAATGTCTAACACTAGCAAGTTTTAGAAGTTTTATTGATTTTAAATAATAAATAAATAATAGCATTTGAATTGTCTGCAACAATTTCTTATAAACAGTCCACGTGTGTCCTGTTGGCACCGAGCGCATACGGCTTCGTTTATGAGATCAGAAACGAATATTAAACGAAAGAATTACGACGGATGCTGTTGTGATTCCAGTTCAAGGGGTCTGAAAACTACGTTTTCCCTGTGTATTACGTATGGATAATCTAAATATTCAGCGTTTGTAAAATATTTGCTTTAAACTAAACATAATGACGCAATCATAGTCTGGCTAATGTAGCGCATATTGGGAAGAATCTCATGTCGCTTATTTATTGTTATTGTGGTTCGTATTAGTAAGTAACTGTTTTTATAACATCCAGGATGAATCGACGCATCATGTGATATATATATACAACGTGGAGGTTGGCATTTACGTGTTTCGTGGGGTTTTCTATTTTATTTTTTTTAATTTTTTTTAGAAATGGAAATACAAATTGCTGTTTCGCCATAAATCACACGTTTTGACTTGTAAAACCACAATCAAACAACTATATTTATAAAGTATCACGCCCATAACACATAATGAAGTGTTTATAACATAATCGAATATCGTATTGTTACAGCCTCTGTACTCCACAATTGTTAAGACTATAACTTCGTACAGCAAATGTACACGATTTCCTGTTCATTTTTTCACGTGTTTCCTAATTCTCTTCTATACAGAAAATTATTTGGTTGCCATTTTTGCTGGGGTTAATCAGTGGAAATGAAACACCTTTCCCTATATTTTACATTCAACTCACCAAAAATCAGTGAAAATAAACTTCAACGAAAATAAATTTCAGCTAAAAAAAAAAAAAAGCATTTTACAGTAGTCTATGGACACGTCGAGTAAAACTTTGAATTTTGGTACGAATATATATATAGTTTTTAAACTCAAGGTTTTCCACCGCTATTTTGGTAAGAATATATATATATATATATATATATATATATATATATATATATA